ACAATATTCTAGATGTCACATAAATGTAGTTCACTATTTAGAAAATTGTCTCAAATCCCTTAAACAACGTTGTGTATGTTACTGATACAGTCTTTGTACGAAAAGTGCTTATTTTCTCTAAGGACTTACACAAAAATGAAAAATAAAAGAACAGTATCTTCACTATTTTAATGTACATACAGGATGCACATACAAGGGCTACCCTGACTGCCCGCAGGCACACCCTATTGCTCTGAAGGGGAGGAGGGTAGAGCAAGTTAATATATTTACTTTTTTCCTATTAGTCTAAGGCTTACCTTTTAAGTAATATCTCCCATGACAAAAGGATTAAAGGATTAAGGCAAACTCGGTTTCTCAACTTGGTTATCTTCTTTTGATTTCATCAGACTACTAAATAACGTAAATATATCACATAAACTGAAATTTTAATGTAACCAATAGACAGCAGACACTTAACTACAAAAGTAATATATATACACACGTTTTTTCTTCATATTTGTGCCCAAATCTAATAAATATGTATATTTCATACTGATAAAAAATTAAAATCAAACAATGTTTTAATCTTCCTCTTCTTCTGTATGGTGGGTTATGAACTGCATGATTATGTAAGATTAATACAAATTTAGATAACGAGTTTACTAATTTATTCTAGATACCAAAAAAGGAGATGGTCCATGCTTTTGGTAGTTTTAATCTTGAGAGACAAGATTATATTACCAAAAACAGCATTAAACAGTATAAAACATTCCAGAAGGATCAATGAGAATTAGAAGAGCCCTGATAGACCTCACAAATAGGTAGCCCTGAGTTTAACCTCATCTGATGGGTTGGGTACAGATATAAAAGAAGAGAAGGCCTTTCCTATAAAAAGCGTCAATACGAACAAAGAACATAATGTGTTTAGAGGACAGCAAAGGGGGTGACCTCACTAGAGGTATGTAGATAAGCAATAGAAAATAAGACTGCAAAAGAAAAGTACAGGTAAATTATTGAAAGAACTAAAAAGTTAAGGAAATGATAGAATATCCAGAGTTTTATACAGGATTTGTTTACTATTATTGTGTAGTCTAGGATCTTGAGGAAGGGAGTGTTTCAGAAAGATTAAAATGTAAAATAATATGCTGGAGAGATTGCTTGAAAGTATCGAGTCAAAAAATTAGAAAGTAGTAAAAAGGGATTGAACTAAGATGGAAGGAGTTTGAATAAAAAAGAAGGGACAGTGTGGCTCAGCTCTTGAGCATTGACCTATGATCCAGGAGATTGTAGTTCGATTCCCGGGTTGCGGGGCGTGAAGGAGGCAGCCGATCAATGCCTCATCATTGATGTTTCTATCTCTCTCTCCCTTCCTCTCTCTGAAACCAATAAAGACATATTTTTTTTAAAAAAAGAAATATGGAGTAGGACTAGTGACTCTCAACCGTACAAAATACTGATGAAAGAAATTAACGCAAGATGACTGAAGTTTCAAACCTGAAGGACTGAAGAAAGTGATTTCATGATTAAGAAAAGGGAAGTAGAAGAGGGAAGTTTATTTCAAGAGAAGAAAAGAATCAATTCCATTTCAGACAAGTTGGATATAGGGTAACAGTGACTGGTACAAATAAAAATATGTAAAACACTGTTGGAAAAATGGAAGCCAGTGCTCCAGTGAAAGGAATTAGTTGGAATTCAGGAGTTGTCAGCATGTAAGTGATAGCTGAAATCAAAAACATCAGTGTTATTGCAAATAGAAAATATGAAAGTTCAGGGATTGAGACCATAATCTTTGTGGTGTCAAATGATACTATGAAAATATATCCCCTTAAATATACCAAAATGATGCATATACTCCCTTTCTTCAAAGTTTTCAAAACCATTATGCTTGGCTGTCTCACCAAGAGTAAAATGTTAACTATATTGTTTCACATTTCAAAACTGTAGAAACATCTGACCTCTCCAGTAGAATGCAGGGGTGGTAAATTCAAATGCCAGGCAGGTACCTGAGTGAAGCCCGCCTTCTAGGAGACAAGGAGTGAAGGAGAGTACAGGCCTCGTCTAAAGAAGGCACCTCTAGGGAGGGAGATGCCCAGGGAGCCGAGTGGAGGAGCCCTTCCCTAAAACAAGGCTGTGAGGTCTTGACTCAGGAACCAGTGAAAGAGCCTTTTTTAAAGTGTTGAGCTGGGAAGGTCTGTAATCAGATTTGCACTTGCTGCTCTGGGCACCATAAAACAACAACAAAAGAAAAACAGGACCAGGCTGAAGCTATGGTTAAGGCACCTCTCCCCCTGAAGATGATCCCAAGGCATCGAAGAACCTTTGGGAAATGTAGCTTGCAGGTCTAAAGTTGCCTGTGTCAGAAAGTCCCTCCCCTTTAATGTCTGTGTGGCACTGTGGGCCTGACACTCAGAACTGCTGCTGTGGCTGTCACCCAGTCCTCTCGGAGATAACCTTTTAGTTGAAGTATTTGTGTTATACTATTTTATCCTGTCTAGTAGTTTTTCTCATTTATTTGCTTTTTCAAATTAGGATTACCTGAAGATTCTCCCCGTTTTTCCATCCCACCTAGGTTTTTTAATTTTGAAGGTTTGTGATATTTGTGATATTGGTGTAACGGGGGAAAGTACAGGTATCTGGGAGGGTAAGGAAGGGGAGCAGGGAAAGGCACATAAGCTGATATCATGGATGAGCTCCACAGAACTGTGAGAAAGCCAGTTAATGAAATAGTATTAACATAGTTCCATCTCTCTGATTTATGCTTAGACCCAACAAAGGGAAAAAGCCCAGTAAAGGAACAAAATAAAAAAACTGAATCTTGGCTCTATAGCTGTTTTTCAAACTGCAGGTCCCAACCCTTCAGTGGAAGTAAACTCAATTTACTGAGTCATGGGTCAGATTTTTTTTATTTAATTTTTTCTTTTAATATATCTTTATTGATTTCAGAGAGAGAAAGGGAGAGGGAGAGAGATAGAAACATCAATGATGAGAGTCATCATTGATCGGCTGCCTCCTGCGTGCCCCCGACTGGGGATCGAGCCCACAACCCAGGCATGTGCCCTGACCGGGAATCGAACCCAGATTGCCTGGATCCTAGGTCGATGCTCAACCGTTGAGCCATGTCTGGCTGGGTATGGCCAGATTTCTTAATAGACTGAAGCAGGAAAACGAAAAGAAGAAGAAGGGGAAGGAGAAGCATAAAAGTTACGAGAGAGCATCATGTACGATAATATGTTATGAACTTTTGCTTTTGGATGCATGGGCTAGGTCAGTGAAATGTATTTCTTAACTTGGGTTGTCAGCAAAAAAGTTTCAGAGCCGCTAATCATACTTTGGTGCTCACATATCCCCTACAAAATTTTTGAAAAATTATGCACCCCCTTTTACCTTTTAAGTTGTCATCCAAAGCTTTCCATTCAAAATTATAAAGTATGTAATTTATAGCATATTATATTTACATGTTGAAATAAAACCAAGACATCATTCTTTTACATTTATCCAATGGATTATAAATACCATAACATTTTTGTACACACCATCAGCCATTTAAGAAATAGATGAGCAAGTTCTTTTATAACAGCAGGAAATTTTATATTGTTCTTTTTCTCCTTGAACTCTTACTTCCATTCCATTTCCACTGGTCTGGAGCAGCTCAGAGGTGCCCTCAGAACACACTTGTGCAGCTTTTCCAACATATCCAGATAAATGCAAAGTGGTAGTGAAAACCTCATTTTTAAGAGAGCCTGTCCTCTAACACTCCTAAAAGTTCACTTATCACCTAACTGGAAAATTAACATCATGCACATATATATAGCCATTAAAAACTGAACTAACATAATTTAATAAAACTCACTTCCCTAATATGACTGCATAGTTGCTTTTAGCAAATTGCAAAATTAAATACGTATTATTTTTAGCAAAAACAGAACATCTAAAATACTCAGAAAGTCACAGGTCTCCAGCTACAAGTGTGTGATTATAAAACATCAGGCAAGGGAGGATTCCAGAAGGTGGCAAAGGAGCTCCCAGGAACTTCAGTGTAGATTTCAACAGGTGCCAAGCTGGGATGATATTTATTTTCTTGATTTTATAGTTTTTTTCTTGATCCTCATAATTTAAATCATTTCCTATTTTATTTCATATTAAATTAAAGGCAGAAAACTCTTTTCAGAAATGCGACACATAGGATTCAAACATGAAATCCTTAAACACAGTACCAGAAATCCAGGTTGAAAGAGTACTGGAGGTGGGGGGAATGTTAGTTTATCACGACTGGATGACTTTTTTAACAGCTGGCCTTGTTGCCATGGAGAGCAGCAGAGCCTTCACTTGATCATCTCAATAGCCAGCTACTGATCAGTCTTGTAAGATACCACCACCAAAAACTGTTCGCAATCATTAGCTATCACTAGAATAACAAAATCCTGCTATCCTGGAAGCATTACATTATCTGGAATTACTCATTTTCTGGAATTTTCTCTAGCACAACTGCTTTTTAAGTATATGATAAAGGAATCTTGAAAAGTCACAAGTTGGCCCAAAAAATTTTAGAACAAAACCTTCTTTCTTCTCAGACCCTATTCCCATCACTGAATGGTAAAACAGCCCTCATAGAACATTACTCTCCTCCATTACTTTGCAAACAAACATGACCCCTAAAGTCTCTATTAGAATCATCAGGGAAGTTTTGTGTTGTTTTGTTGTTGTTGTCGGATTGGGGGATTTTTGTTTGTTTGTTTTCCTTTTAATTACCCTATTATTTTCAGAATTAAAAATAGTAGCCTGACAGTGATAAAAACTACTTTTTCCCCTACTGTCTCTTATCCACAAAAAGAAAAATAGAACAATATAAGAAAGTCTCCTCTGATTCTACTAATCTAGGGGGGGATCCCCCATTACATTAGACCTGGTTTCTCAATCTCTTTACTCTTAGCATTTTGGTCCAGATAACTCTTTGTTGTAACCTACTCCTCTGTGGAGGGGTGTGACTGCCTAGTATATGAAGCACTCTAGTCAAAGACATCTTAATTTCAAGAGGTTTTATTTAAAAAAGAAAACAACAACAATTTTCCTCTCTTTACTGCAGTACAATGTGAACACCATGGATTTTTTTTTCTAAATAGTGTGGGGGGATGTAGAAATTCAGAAGATAAAGTTGCTGCCTTCTGGAGCTTATAAATAAACTGTACTTATAATTTATATCATTTGGGTCTCCTTCATTGACCAAGAAGGTAATTTAAAGACGTTACTGTTATCCCAACTCTTCTAAATTAATAATACAATGATATATTTTTAAGTTTAAGTTTTAATGAAGTTACAAACATAATTCTACATAACTGTCAGGGAAAAAACCAACAACACATTTTGGTTTTGGCTTGAATAACACTGAACCTACCAATACAATACAAATTTCTGCCCACTGCCTTCAATGTTGCAACTCTGAAATGAAAAAGCATCCTGAAAAAGACTTCAGGCACCTCTAACAAAAATACATCCCTTCACATGTAACAAATGTCTTAGATGAGTAAACACATTTAAATAATGTCTTAAAGGAGAAGGAAGTCATCCGATGCAAGGCCACACCTCTTTACAACTCTATAGCACAGGGAAACCTAGAATGAATAAAGAAAAAATAAAGCATTATTCAGTGTGGGTCTATAAAGTGCTCTCTTAGATCACTTAAATGCATTGAACACACAACGGGAACCATTGCATTCAGCTTCCAAAAGGACGCACTCCCAAAACTGCCCACTAAAAATCTGCAGCATTTGATTTTCAACACAATCTAACTGCATCATCAAAAGTCTTTACTTCCTACCCAAATAAAAACAAACAACAAATTCAGTCATTTGATCTTCACTTTTAATTCATTCAACCAACATGTCTGGAAGAGCAAATACTGGCCAGGCACAGTGGTAGACCCTAGAGAAACAGAACCAGACATGACACTTTCTCCAAATTCAAGGAAATGCCCAGTCTACTTGCTGCCTCTTTTTTTTTTTTTTTTAAATATATCTTTATTGATTTCAGAGAGAAGAAGAGAGAAGGAGAGCGAGAGATAGAAACATCAATGATGGGAGAGTCACTGATTGGCTGCCTCCTGCACGCCCCTGAATGGGGATGGAGCCTGCAACCCAGGCATGTGCCCTGACCAGGAATCGAACCCCGATCTCCTGGATCCTAGGTGGATGCCCAACCGCTGAGCCACGCCTGGCCGGGCTACTTGCTGCCTCTTTGAGCTGCTTCTCTACCACCTCTCACAATGCCGGTGGCACAAAGTATGGTGCTGAGTCCTGGGTAAGATTAGCATCAGCCATGAAAGAAGCTAAGAAATTGCTAACAGTCTAGTCAATAAGTTCTGCTATTTGTCTGAAAATTTACTTTAGACTACCAAGTAAACAAGAAAGCTGGCTTTTTTTTACCTTCTCCCAATTTTTCATTAAAGTGCATAAAGATAACACAAGACAACAACTGGCAATAGCTCTCTCAACCATATGCCAAAGCCAGAGTCAAATTTCCGTGAACAAGCATGATCCTTGGGGACAGACCAAGAAATAAAGCTGACCAAGAGTTCCTGTCTGTGCGCTCTGCCACATGCTGCTACTTCTATCCAAGGAATGAAGGAGTGAGTAAACAAACTAAAACAAGAGAGTCAGCCACAAAGATGGGGAAAGCATTTCATCCATTTCCATTGCCTAAACTTAATCCTAAAATACAGAAGCTGTCCCTACCAGAGGAAAACAGGCTGCCAGACATCCCACTGCCTGCAAACTCTTTCTCAAGTCTGGCAGAACTAGATTCCCTCCCTTACCTTTACTCCTCCCCCCCCCCC